AACAGTTTACGTTTCGTATCTGAAACGTAAATTGAAGTTAGAAAAAAGTCGGATTAAAAATAGATCCATATATATATATATATATATATATATATATATATGTGTGTGTGTGTGTGTGTGTGTGTGTGTGTGTGTGTGTGAATGAACCAAAGTGAAAGATAAACACAAATGTGAAAGGAGCAGATAAGTGAGAGAAACATATCAACCGAATAGTGAAAACATTCCCCTTCGCAAGTTATATCAATGTTTCGTGAAATTTTTCTCTTTTTCACATCATATGAGCCATGTTTACTTTGTTTTTATTATCAGTTTTATTATACTGCTGTTTATCTAACTTAGTCTCCTGCTGTTTCTACCTGTTTAAAATTCCATCAAAATCACTATTTGACAATACCCACGGCTTACTTAAAAACACTCTTTCTAGATCGTGACAACATGCTGTCGCATTGTCCCTCAAAATCAACCTCTACTTAGATCCACTTTACATCCTGCTATCCACCCGTTGCTTCTCGTTAGTCATTGTCACATAAAAATCATAAAAAAAGTTTCTTTTACCTCCATCTTGTTTAGACTCTCAAAATAATCGTCAGTTGTAAGGGAAAGCTTTGTGTGTGTGTGTGAATGAATAAGAGAGGGAGGAACAATAGGGAAGCATTTAAACTATAAAAATGACTGTTTAAATAATCAAATTCAAAAAAACAAATTTTCGTGCTGACCATTTAAAAAAAAACTGGTTGGTCAGTTTCAAAATTAACGTTATTATTATTATTAATATTATTATTATTATTATTATCAGAAATCAACAAAATCTGCCTTATCAATATTTAGAAAGCTTAGATTTTTCTGATACAAGACTACAATAAGGGGAACATACTGAGAATCGAACTCACTGCGGTAGAAATGCTTTGTTCTGCTAGTTATGCATCACGAAAATGTCGTCCATTCTGCTAAAGGTATCTGATGCATGTTAACTGCAAGTTTGTCTTACAAGTCGTTACCAATGGGTTTCATAGGCACCCCAACTATCGTAGGAATGTACCAGACTCGGCTAAGTTTAGTAAATTGTTTGCTATTGTTCGACTTTAATAAGCAAGTTTTTCAGCCTTATGACTTACGGTGGCCACGATCATAATATTATGACCTTGTACCAGACGAAGTTAAGTTCAGTAAATAACCAGAAGTTTACTTGCAGAGCGATAATAAGTTTTAAAACAAGTTAATCTTTTAAGCCATTGTTAGTTTGGTACGAATGTATGACTCATAACACTGACCTTGTACCAGACAAAGGTAAATTGGGTAAAAATACATATATATATATATATATATATATATATATATATATATATATATATATATATATATATATTAAAGTAACATTAAAAATAAACAAAACAATGACAACAATAAAAAATAAAAGCCCAATGAAAATTCTACGGTCGATTTTAATATTACGTTTCGATTTCTATCATTTACTAACATTTAAAATAAAAAGCATACATGCGCGTGCACACATACACATGTTTTATACCACACACACACACACATATATATATATATATAATTTATCCGACAGCTTGACAGAAATTAGAAGAAAAAATAATAATATAAAAATAGAATATTGGCAGTTTTGAAGCTGTATAGTAAATACTTTTAACAATGTAGCAGATACTTTTTTCAGAACCACACACACACACAAATATATATATATATATATATATATATATATATATATATATATATATATATGGAAAATAGTTCGATAATAAATATGTAAACAATTTTAGATATATTATTTAAGATTGTTAAAACGAATTTGAGAATCGTTCGAGAGTTCCGCGTAAACCTGTGTCCACAGAGGATAAACAAACTGTATTTGCCGGCCTATCAGATTTTTAAGTAGGAGTTTTTTTTTCATTTGATTTTTCTTCGTGAAATGTGCACACATACATTTATGCATAAACAGACAGTGCAAGTTTTACAAGTAAATAAAGCAAGTCACGTGCATAGGCAGCTTGAAACGCTTCTTTAAACGCGAAAAAGGACAGCCATGCAATCTCACATCAGAATAGGATTTCTCTACAAGTACATTGACAGACACATCTATCTTCTATAAGTTCTGAGACTAATGATGCAGAACAATATTTTTCAACATCATTTACTTTTTTTTGTTAATACACTTAATCTAACTCACTAACTTGAACATTATACAGTGAACATTTCAGATCAAAATCCAGCTACGCAGTTATTGATCAATCTATCTAAGTTTGTTTTATATATCTGTATATGGAAGGTTGGCGTAACGGTTAACCGCATAGAATCGCGAACGGAGTTCAAAATTTACTTCGCGTTAATATCCTTGAAAGCGATCATAGATTACAATCCTCCTACTACTACTAAAGAAACCGATTATCCTGTCAATATTACCTGGAGAAGTTATTTCTAAGTAAGCCTCACTGTCTCTAGAAAGGCCAACATGGTACCCCGACGATCTACTCTGTGAAAGTATAATTCAACTTTTTAAAGGTATGTATGGATATCAGTTTTGTCGCAACCAGTTCTTATTTGTGTAAAAAATAAAGTTTAATGCTTAATTCATTTCAAAATTATGAATAGTATATATATTGAGGATGTCGAGGAAAACCATTTTCAATAACTGATAGATAAAATATTTTCAATCTTCAGGTATTCGAACTTCTTGAAATTAAAAAAAAATAATTCAACAAAAAATAAGATAGACAAGGTTGTTTAGAGAGAAAAATAATTTTTACCGTTCACATAAATAAGCATACACACACGTAGGTACATTAATAAGTCCATAGCCTAATGATGAAAAAAGCATTTTTACACAGTAAATATCGATTTTCAGCATAATATTATTCTCTGTCAATGCACTTAATCCAAAGTTTCTCTATTAATCAAAGCGTGAAAATTTCAGATAAAAATTCAGTTAATTTCATGTTAGGCTACAGACTTAATGATCCATTCTTGTATGTATATACATAACCTATCACTCCTACCGTAGAGCGATGGTTAGCAAGTTAGTTATGAATGTAAACTGTAGAGTAATTCACGTGTGAACTTATGGAGCGATGGTTAATAAGCTCATCTCGCCAATGGATATTTATAGTTAGATTTTTAGATCCTCACTGGATGCCCAAATACTTCGGTAAGTTTAATAAATAATTATACCTACGGATTTATCTATGTATGTTTACTAATATTAAGATACAACTTGGTACATTAGTGAATTGGTCTGAAAAAATATTTAGTAAAATTTACTTAGTCTGGCTCAAGGCAATTTTAGTGGAGTAATTTTTATACAAAACGGATCAGTTAAGAAGATTAGCGTGCTTAGCTTGGTCTGACAGGTCTTGTGCTATGGGGTACTCAGTGATGATCGGGTTCAAAGGGAAGAGTTTGTTAGCTATCTCGTTATGACAGGTGCTCAATTTATGCATTTAACTGATATTCATCCATTCGTCTTCCTCAACCAGTAACCAAAGTTATAGAGCCGTACCCGGTAACAAGTTTTATATATAAAAGGACAGGGTATGAAAGTTCTACGCACCCACATGGTGACGCCATACTGCGCGGCTACTAGGAAACCCACCCATCACCCTAACTCCAGTAACAACCACTCCCACCAGTGACTACCACTACAACTAACAATACTACTGCTTTCACTGCCACCAATCCGACAGTAACAACAACATTAAAACTTTTTCTAAAGAGCAACGAAATCGCTTACAACAACAGACAACTTATTTGACTGGCGCACAAACAGTAAATAACCAGGACAGGTTACAAGTAGGATCCACCCAAAAATCTCTCTCCCTCACAGTTATTCATCATTGATAAAGCTGCCTGGGCCGTTTATATGTACAAAATAATACACGACAGATTTAACTGCTCGTTTGGATAATTTTCCACCACCAACAAGAAGTAAATAAATTATTAAAGCCGAGAGAGTGAAATTAAGTGGTCACTGACTTTAAAAAAAAACGAAAGGCTCATTACGTCTTTTTCGCACCTGGGATACCGTTATGGCAACAGTCTAACCCTTTATCTCTAATTTCAGCGTCCGAACAAGAATACCCGTTACAATTTCACTTTGCAGCAGCTTTTTTTTTCTCCTCCAGAATTCATAGAACTGATCCATTCAAACACAGAAATCTTTTAAGAATTTGAGTCTTTTTTTTTTTTTTAAATAGAATTCTATTATTTATTCTTACGCTGTTATTTATTTACTTTTTAAAAAATCATGAACGTTTTTTTGTGTGTTTGATGGAGTTGATGGGTTTGATGTAGGTTTTTGATCTCGGTTTACAATTATTTTAGAGAAAAAGAAATAAGGAACTGGGAAGAAAAATAGGTATTTTTGTAGGAACTGGTTTTCTAAACGTTTGTTGGTCTGAAACCAAATGTCTCTGACAATTTGCCAACGGAATCTGGATAACGACCATCCTCAAGAAATGTGTAAAGTTTTATTACACCAAGGCCGACAGCAACAACAGCAGCAGCTCCGGCGACAGAGTGACGTGAACCCGTTTCTTTCCAGTCCCGTTACTTCAAAAAATAAAACAATGCCTGAGGACGCGACTAGTAGTGCTAATATCGATAACTCTGACAAAGATAGCAACCAGAATGTTCGAAGCTTTTCCGAAGAAGAAGAAGAAGAAGGGGGAGAAGAAGAAGAAGAAGAAGGTAAAGAAAAAAAAGAGGATTCAGGAACAAGGTTTGGACGACTAAACTACAGTTGTTATTCTTCACCCTTCACCCTCATTTCGCACCCCTATCACCATTACAATCATCAACCTCACCACCATCATTACCATCACCACCATCATCATCATCGACAACATAAAGAAGATGCAAGATTATCGCAAACATGTAACCAGCAATTAACAGACACGATTCTGGCAACATCAACACCACCATCTTTTTCCTCAAATGTACCCCAGATTACCTCATCATCTGTGACGTCGACATCGTCATCAACAATGTCGATATCTGTTTCGGATACTCCCAGTAAACCTTCTTTTCTGATCAGCGATATTCTGGGGGATCATGTTGGAAACTCGAGACAGCATCACAAGTGTCATCCCTCCACATCCACAATCGCTTCAACAACGGCGACATTATCACCGGCTTCAATCACAACAACAGCAACATTGACAAGTACATCTTCACCGTCCCAGCATCTATCCGCGTTTCTTAGCTTCTCCTCAACCGGTTTATCCTCAATCCAGTCTCAAAATTTAATCGGGGGTCCGATTGCCGCATCTTCTCCCTCGCTGACATTAGCTCAATCGGATTTGTTAGATACAAGTCCATCAAGTACCTTTTCGCAAACTTCAACATTCACACCTTTTTCATCCGTTTCCCACATCAAACGTCGTTTGGACGCCATTCTCAGTACCGGAAACTGTACAACATACTTCTCCGTCCCTGGGAATCAATTAAATTCAGAAACCAGTAACACAGAGTTTCACAGTTCAAATCCGGACGGTAATTCGAATGTTCAAACAGTCGGGCGAAATGCTGTGGTCGGAGTTTGCTTCCGGCCAACTTTGACGTCATTAACGCAGACGCCGCCATCGGTTTGTACTTCGTCTCCGGACACTGTTGGAGGTCGTTGGATTGAGAGTGACCGAAGGTCAAGTTCGGATTCGAACCTATTAGACGATGAGGTTGATGTTGTGCAAATTAGGGATGTTTGCCTTGATAACAACCTTGAAGGTAGGTACAGCAATTTTTCTTGTTTTTTTTTCGGTTCAAAACATGCTCTCAAAGAAACACACCTCATTACTTTTGACCGGTACACTGACAAACTCGTAAATTTCTGATGTTACATAATGTTCTGTGAAATTTCCCAGTTTATTTAAGAATATTTTCAACATTTCTCAAGGCGTCTTCATTGTAATAATAATAATAATAATAATTATAATAATAATGGCAATTGTGATGTTGGTTATAATGATAATTATTATTATTGTTGTTGTTCACATATTAGAACGTGTAAACAAGTTCTCGTTTCGATCAAGAAGGGATTCCGAAAAATTCTGATGTTTGGGTAGATTTTTGGAAGTGTGTGTCAGCCGGTGACCATTTCAGTATTCCCTCGTATATTAAACGCAATGTTCATCCATATATCTGTGTTGTGCAACATTTTTCTGCCACCAAAAGATTCCATCTCTATATAGTGGTCTCTTCTGGCGACGTAGAAATAGAAATTTTTATTTTGTTGAACTTAACAGATAAGCAACATGTTCACATTTTTGAATTGGATAATTCCGAGGAAGTAAAAATAGAATTTCCTGTTTTACGTTAAAAATTATTTTATTTTTTATTTCGAATTTTAAAAAATGAAGGTATTGAATTATCACAATATGCTTATATTAGAAATATTGTTTTAAAGGAACTCTTAAATTTTTACGATAGGCTTTGTCGATAAATAAAAATTTCGAATATATTTAAATGTATGTATATATTAAAAATGAGTTTCATTTATTACAATAGTACAATACAGAAGATCAGTTGTTATCTTTACTTAATTTTACTTTTAGTTTATATTCAGAAAGTATAAAGCATAAGAAAATACAGGGCAACATACAATTCTTGGTATTTATTCAGAACAACAGAATGACAAAATTACTTAAATATTCAGTCATTTTTAACAGCACAGGTAAACTAGTAATAATAAAAAACTATTTAAGACTATTTTTCGTAAAGCACAAAACATGTCCTGTTATATTTTCATACATATCTAAAAGTGGACGCTAGGTGCCTTTCATATATTGCATACATAACACCAAAATATGCCCAAATAAAATTGCATAATAAAAAAAAAAGAATAATTTTTAAGATTTTAAGCTGTTTTTAGTGTCTCCATACATAAACTAGGGAGTCGATAAAAGTTGGACATCGGTTTCTCCTATTACGTAAAAATGTTTTTTAAACAAACATCTAATAAAAGTACAATAGCAAGAAAATATCACTGAGCTAACGCTCCAAAAAACAACATATTTTTGAATGTTTAATAGCATGAGAAAAATATTGCTTATAGCACTACATAGAAGCTACTTAATTTTCAAAGAATATATGAAATCAAAATGTAAGTATTATATCATTTGATGTAGAATTGCGTGAGTAACGTAAAGAAAAATATTATTGTTACTGATAACATTTAATGCGAATATAAAAACGTGAAATTTGTTTTATTTCATTTTGTTTTAATTTTAAAATAATATGTTGGCATTCATCTCATTATTTTACAAAGTAACTAATTATGCTACCTTTACAAAATTATCTGAATATTAGCCACAATAGTCAAATTCCCAACATTAAAACACTATAATGAAAAGCAAAATAATAACATTTGGAAATCAAATGGAAATGACGCGTTTTTCGAAACTCTGAAAAATATTATATATATATATATATATATATATATATATATATATATATATATGTGTGTGTGTGTGTGTGTGTGTGTGTGTGTGTGTGTGTGTATATCTAACATTAAAATTTATATTAATAAATTTATATTAATAAATTAATTTTAATATATAGACATCATAAAACCATTTTAGTTTTGTTTATAATCAATACTTTTTCAATGGATAAAATTTAAATAATATGTTAGAAACAATTTAAAATGTTAAATCATTTTTGTTTAACTTTAAATTCAATTTACATTAGGGTCCATTTTATTTTGTTTATATGATATATTATAATGGAACAAAAGAGAAAAAATGGGACAAATGTATGGTTTCACGAATAAATTAGTTGTTGCCAGAAAGAATATAATTGAAACATTATAATTTAATAATGAAATTAACGAAAACCTCGCCCTGTATTGCCCGTCGCGCAGTTTAGTGGCGACATCAAGTGGCGAAAACTGTATGGGGTTGGAAAATACATTCCTTGCATTGGTCTTCCAAATAACGAGAATGGACATCGTTAACTGATGATTACAAATGAGGATCTTTTTCAAACAACGGCCACAAAAACCAAAGGAAAGAAATAAAGTGAAGTGAGCGAAAGAGGATTATAACGATGATATATATGTGCATACTATTGACTGGACACAAAAAATAGAGTTAATGAATACCATTCACATATTTGAAAAAACTACAATAAAAATGTCTATTTACCTCATTTGTCTGAGGCGAAAAAATATATGATTGTATTAAAGAGCAAATCAAAATAAACAAGGACAATAAGTACAAGAAAATAGTAAACATAGTTTATGTGGGGTCAAGGAAGAACTTATATGATTAATAAATAAATGTAGCACATTAAGTCAAGAATATAAAAATAAATATGAGTCGGTGAGAATTGTGATCCATTGGTAATTGTGCAAACGACTTAAATTTGATCATGCAGAACCGAAAAAAAAATCATGGTCCTGCAGAAAATGAAAAAAATTATGATTTTTTAAATGAAATTGATTTGATCATTGTAAACCAAGACAAAATATTCTTGTCAGAAAGTGGATGTAGTTTCCAAAAAACTAAAGCGTAAAATTGAAAATTTTTTTAAAAGAACAGGGTAAGTTTTTGAGTGTTGCCAGAAGATTTATGAAGGTGAAGAATGATGATATAATTATTGGAATGGTTCGAAAATGGATAAGAAATAATAATAATAAAAGAAGAAACGAAAAAACAGAGAATACGTTCTTTAGATTAAACAGAACTCGGAGAGTTATTTTCTAAGTTGGGAAAATAGGAAATTCGAGGAAAAATGGAAACTATCCCGACAATAGCATTACTAAAAGCGTTAAAAATTCTAAGGAGACTGACTGTCACTTGATTTTCAAAAGAAGCTACCAGTAGTTCTGAGGATTTAGAGGGTTTAAAAATAATTTTTGTTCCTCAATAATGGCCAACAGAAAACTGGGGTGAGTTTGGAGGAGTTGTTAATAATAATAATAATAATAATAATAATAATAATAATAATAATAATAATAATAATAAAATACATGAATAAATAAATAAAGGCAAAAATATTAAAAAAATATCCAAGAAGAAAAAGAAAGGAATACTGAGAAAATAGAAGAGTAAGAAGAAAAAGTAGAAGAAGAGTAAGAAGATAAAAGATAAAATAAATAAAAATGTTTTGACTAAACAGGAATTTGTGCATTAATTGTTATTGAATGTTTGATAAAAATTCAAATATATATCGATAAATAAAATAAGAGGATTACTTTTTTGATAGCGTATAAGACTTCTCAATCAACATTTACAATTAATCTTAGTATTATAAGCGATTTGGGGAATAAACAAATGTGGTCTTATATACCATCGAATAAGGTATTTAAAATAGATAATAATAATAATGTGACATTTAAACAACTACCATTCCAATAATAAAAAGAGCACTAGAAATGGTTAAAAAATATTGATACATACATTAAGAAAATCTCAAGAAACCCATCACTATCTGAGAGTTGAAAGATTGTACTTATAAAGACCATTCACATACCCGGAAAAATCTGTCAATCTAATATGTTCAGTAACATTGCAAGAAATATTTTTCTTTATCTCATGTCAAATGTAAAACATTGAATTGAACAGCAAATCAAGTAAACTGGATATAACAACAACAACAAAAGCAATAATAATATTAATACAATTTCACAATGGAAATTTTTGGGATTAACCAGTTTCCAGATTTCATAATTTTTCGGTTTTATTTGGAATGGCATCAGAAGTAGACAATTGCATAGTCTCGAAAAATCGATTGTTATGGAATGGTAATGGATCTGCAGTGAACTATGTAAATATTCACATTGAGTTGGGTAAATTCAAACTAACAAGTAATATTACAATTTATTTGTACAGTAGTAAATGAATTAAGATAAAAATAGACCAGAAAATTACTGATTTTTTTTAAAATATAAAGATCCGAAAACAAATATTTTCTTTCCATGGGAAAAAAATATTCGTTTTCGGATAATGTTTGGTTTTCAGAATTTCGGATTGAATATTTGCAATAATAATAAATAAATTGGTGATCTGAGAACAGAGACTGTCCAAAGCTGAGCAAAATATAGAGGAAGGTACTGAAAACCTGAAGAGATATTCTCTTACTTGATCACAAGCATCAACCAGACGTTAGATATGAACATGCAAATGCATGAAATAATTATTATAGTGATAAAAGAATATTGATAGACACATTAAAAAATAATTCCGAAGAAATCCACCTTTGTCTGAAATACAAAAGATCGTGTGAATAAGTACTGCTCACATACTTAGAAAAAAATCTTTCCATAACTTCCTTAGAAATCTCTTCAATGTACCGTAAGTCTCGGGTGAAAGACTTTCTAAACAATTGTATGAGAAAACAAATAACAAAAGGAATCATTATAATAATGATCTTGTAATAAGTCAAAAGTATAATTCGCTTTTACAGCGAACCCCAAAATAATTTTCTCTTACGCATCACGAAGGATGGATTCTGAATGAAGGGAGTTGAGCCCCCAAATCAAATCGAATTTATGGATAAGTGCGATCCTTTTGAATATCTTGTCCGTCGTTTTTAGCACAATATTTCAGTTTCCGGTATTGCATTTTTCGAATAAATTTGTTATCAAAGAATATCGATAGATCGGCGAACAAGAGCGATTAAAAATCGAAGGTTTTTAAAGACTTAATTATTGTTTAAAATCTGATTTTTGCATAATATATATTTTGCCCGTAAAGTAATAATGCAAATATAAATAAAATATTCACCTGCTGACATGCGAAAGAGAAATTATGTTCATAAACAAAATCAACATTTATTTATAAATTTATGTTTCATGTACAAAAAATGAATCGACACTACCCACTTCCCAAAA